AAGGTGTAATGCTAACGTTGCAAGTTTGGACAGACTGGGCGACCGCAAAGCGGTCTGTGACCACTCAGTAGGGGAGCACGCGAGAAAACCGGCGTGAAAGGAGACAACACAGACGACATTGTATGAAACAATTTTTATTTTTACTATCACTTCCAGGTTTTACTCAGTGACACAAAATACTTCCAAAGGATCCTAAGTTTTCTAAAACGTTTTTTCCAACAGTTCAAGCCTATTTTGACATTTAACCATAGATAAAAACCACTTTATTTTCAGGCAACTTGTTAGGCAGAAATAAGTGGGCGATGAGTATTCTATTTGGTTTGTTTGTTTTTTACCTCTTTGATAGAGCGATTTTCGTATGACCATGAAATGAAAACGCGCGAACAAAACAGAAACAACAAACGAACGGAAATAGAGCGAGTTGATTGGTTTATAGAACGGATACAAACGCGCGTGGCTTTTGGTTGGTTAGTCGAACGCTCGGGTGAAAAGCCTTCACGCCCGAGAACTTTCTAGAAAACAATCGGTACTTCGATTTGACGTCATACTGCAACACGATTGGCCAATCGAACAATGACTTCCTCATATTAGGGTTTTCCTTGGCGGGAAAATGAGGAAAAATAGACAACCGGAAAGCATTGGTCTTTTTTTTCCCACAAAAGCTAGTACGCTTATTTCCGTTGAAGGAGGTAAAGCCCTCTTCCGTTCGCTAAATGAGAAAATTCCTAACATTTGTAACTTGTCTTCCCTATACGACATCATCGCTAAAACTAGTAGTAAAATGACGATAGCCGCTATCACATTTTCCCGCCAAAATGACGTTGGTTCGCGAAAACGTCGTTTTCGTTGTCGTCCTCGTCTTAGAATCTAAAGCTCTCTAACAATGAATGAACTAGACAGCCGTTACAGAGCCCCTTTAACTTGTTTCTTAACAAACCGCACGAAAAACGGTCACTACTGTTGTCTAGAATTCAATCCATAGAAGTATTAAGGATCCAGGGTGGAACGTCCCCATAGTTACAGCTGGTAACCTAGGTAAAGGAATCGTAACTTGTGCTTTCCCTATGTTAACCTGCGAAAGTCAACATTGATCGACATTATTTACACCACAATATACAACCGCACAATAACTGTGAACAATACAAAGCCTACCGCTAAAATGGCACCGCACTGAAATCCCTAAAAGATATAACACGCACCTTCTACGACCCCTTTGCATTGAGAGTAGCCTGTGAATGCAGCCGTCTTTCCTCGCTCCTCGTTGCTTGGAAGGAGACGGCTGTCTTCGCAGGCTACTTCAAAACTGGAAGCGAATGTGGAAGCGCCGAGACCAGACTAATACATCCGTGTATGCTTTCTTGAGGAACGGGTGGCGGTTACAGAGTGCAGATAAACAAAATGTTGAAAACTATTAGTGATTTATACCTTATGGCAAATAACTTGATACACAATAAACTTCTTGATTTGAGGGTACAAAAATAAATGTACATTTCAATTCAGAGACTTGTCTTTAAGATATAAACTTGGACACCTCACAGTCCGATGTAGATTGTATTACTTTGTTGTATATCAGCCTTCCAGAAAATACGAAATCACTCGTTTCGTTTAAATGAATAAGATTTTAGGACACACCTGTTGCTGCTATTGTTTTTTTTATAAATTACAAAAAAGCGTAGTAGCCCCAACGTCTCTCATTTAAACGACGTCACACCTTAAGATTACGTTGTCCTTAGGCATGACGAGATACTTAAATCCGTTTGAATCGACTTGAAGTCTAAGCCTCTCAAGGATAGGGAATATAAATTTTCCAGCAGGTTCTTTGGCTGTAAAACAAACACTGAATCCATTCTGTAGGAAGCGTGTCATCACCTCGGCATTGCCCCACCCCTCCGACCTCTCCCTTTTCCTGCACCCCTTCCAAGGGGCGTGGTCTTGCCTCCTCTGCCACGGGTACTCCGAAGACTCGCTTGGCTTGGAGCTTTGCTGGCGGCTGAAAGTAAAGCAAGAACGTGTAAGGATTGGATACTACTACACAAGAATAGGGTTCAATTTTACACGACATACCCAAACCTTAGTAGAAAATCTTTATGAATAAACACAACACTCCACAAGCGATGGGATGATAATCAGCATCGCTAGGTCGAAAATAGCAGTGCATGGTTCTCGCCAGAGTATAATGTCTTTAACTGTTTCCTTTCTACTTTTGATTGCCGTAGTCAATAGGATATGCTCAGTTCACTCATCATAATTTGAGTTCTCATTTTTTGCCCCTATTTATTTCCTACAGAAGTAGTGGGGAGAAGTTAATAAAATATCAAGCAAATTCATCTTGTGTGATCATGTCTGTAATTCTCATGACCACTATGTTCTACAAAGCATTGATATTAGAAGGAGAAATTTGACACTGATCACTCTTAGGGCTTAAAGGGTTAAGCAAGGCCTCGCAAAATTTGCGACAGAAACCCACAAGGAGCTCAGGAAAAGGCAACTGTAGAATTTTACCTGACTGCTGTTGAAGTCTCGCCTTATTTGGAGCACACTCTTCCTTTAAATGCTTACTCCACACCTAATGTAATAAAACATAGTTTCAGAAGAAAAGAGGGAAAAGCATGGAAACGACGACGCTGATAGCAAGAAAACATCGCAGAACGTAGGGTGTAATATTTTATAAGTGAAAAAACTAAAATGACTGTGTGTGCGCGTAACGTTTTAGGTAATTCCGTGAAACGGTCTGGAATAGAAGTATGTCAAATATTGAATGAAAGATTTCCCGGAGGCACGTAACAGACGACAGATGTTAGGGAGCGTAAGCAACAACGACTTCATCGCTCGTATTCTAACACTTTTCATTTGTCAAATGCTGGCGATTTTTTTCAGGAGTTGAATTTTAAAGAACTGCATCTAAGTTCACAAAAAGAAAAAAGAAAATCGTACGTTGTCTTGTGTTAACGTCCTCCATAAAACGTGAATTTAAGAAGTGCCACGTCGTATTCGTGCAGAGACGGCAAAGAAATGTACAAAAAAGCGTGATGCACGTGCGAAGTTGTTGTTTTGCCAATCAAAACCTATTGCTTTTTTGCCGTTCTCGTTGCCGTTTCCGTCCTCGTTGCTTAACTATTTTTTTCCTGACAAACAAGGACCACATACCTCATCTCCATTACCAAGAACTTTGTTACACAAGACGCAGCGTGGACCCTTGGATGCTTTAAAAAACACAGACAAATGTATAATAGAGTCAGTTTTAGTCTGTTCAGAGAACCAACTAACTCAGTGTTCGCGAAAATATTGGCGCAGCTGTGTGCAGGATCAAGTAACAAAATCAGGGCTGTTCGAAAGATTGTTAGTGCCCTGCGCAGACGTCCTTTTTGCGCGCAACAGAATTAACTCCTCCTGACCGTAGGGCAAAGAAAACAAACTGACTTTTCACTCTAACGGCTGGCGCTCTTCTTACTAAGCTACGAAGTAAATCGGGATCTTCGGCCAGCGGTCGGACACTTATTGTCATTATCATTATTATCATTTGCGAGATGCCCTCTTGAGCGTTACAAATATAGGGAGAGGGCATGATCGCAGCTGCCAAAAGATATCACACTGACAGTACTGACACTCCTAAAGAGAATACATAGTTACCCTGACAGCTTTTCTCAGCAAAGTGTTCATCAAGGTCTTCTTTAGGAATCGCTTCCTTGCAGCGCGGACACTGAGCGAACTTATCACTGGACTCACACTCGGTCAGCAGATGCTCACTAACGCCTGAGATTTCTATCACCTGAGAGAGATGGGAGGGGATGGTAAGTAATAGAACCGGTAGGTGGGGGGGAGTCTCTCCTACCCGTCTCTCGCTCCGTAGGGACTGGTAGGAGAGAACCCTGGGAACGAGGTTGGTTAACGACAAAACCTTCTAATTTATTTGATTGGCTAAAAAATCTTGCGCTTAACTTTATCAACCTGTCAGGATTAAAAACCTACCACTAAAGGCATTCAGTGACTTGTTCGCACACAGTGGCAGGCATTTGCCGAGCTCTGTATTTTTAGCACTTTGTTCTTTTACACAGGCCAGAGTATTTTTGAATGGCTTGGCCTCGCATCCGCCGAATCTAATACTCATTAGTGAAAGGGTTGTCCTAACTTACAAGCAATGTATTTTAATAGCACAAGAGAAGTTCGACACTCGACGTCCACAGCAGGCAGGGGTGTCAATAAGGGCCGGTAGCCGGCCAAAACCGCCGGCTAGATAGCCATTCTTAGCCGGCTACTTTCATCTCCTTCTACCATAACTGCTGACAAAAAATAAGTACCTTCGAATAAAATTGTAAAGCATCCGTTTCCCAGTTTTGAATGACATTGAACGCATATTTAAACATAACATAACAGGTTTAGATCTGTGAAACGTTCCAGCCGTGCGATGTCGTGGAGCGCCTGCGATATTTTGACGGCATTGTTACCTGTCTTGCGTGTATTCTGACGAAACAACCTGGTGTCCGCGGTGGAAAATACCCCTTAATAACCTCTGGAAACTCCACTTCCGAGACTCTGAATTTCAAAATGTCCATAGATGCCTTGGCCCTAAGAAACTTGTGCCTTTGGTGCGAGTTCCAAAGCCACCTTCTATTCATTATCAGCCTGCTACTTAAAAACTTTTTGACAGCCCTGCCTGCAGCAGGCCTTAAAAGATACCATTGTTACGCAAGAGTCAATCATATTTCGTTCAAGCAACAAAGGCTGATCACAATTTGCATGCAGTTTTGAAGAAATTGTTTAATAAGAAAAGAAAAAAAAAACATCAAATTGTACCAGTCAGACTATTACACTCGGAAATGAACGGACGACTTCGAAAGATCATTGAAAATCTTGACCGAAGTGACTTAAAAGCCACATTTATTTTTATTTCTCAAACAATCTTCAGACTCTTTGGGGCTGAAACCTTCCAGAGCAAAAAGATCCCGAGAACTGGGGCTGCACAGAATGAAAGTAAGTTCAGTCAAACCCCGCTTCACGGACACCCGCATAATACTGACACCTCATAATCACGGACAGTGTGCATTGTCCCTGGGGGAAGAAAGCCCTTACATTTTCTCTACATTCAACCCACTTAATACGCTCACACCGTTAGTGCGGATACTCTATATGGCCCCCTTAGTATCCGTATTAACGGGGGTTTGACTGTTGTTATCACCTGAGCGCAGTGGTCGCATCTTTTGAGCATGGGACAGCTCTTCCAATAATGCATGTCTAGCATCTCTTCTGTGAAAGATTCGTTGGTTTCACCACAGAATATACACATCCTGAAAAACAGTGTATGACAAAAATAAACCTTTCACTCTACAAATCAATAGCCCATAAACATACAGTTGAAGCTCTTGTAAGCGGACACCCTCGGGACGAGAAATAGGTCTCCGTTACTGGAGCTGGCCGCTTACGAGAGTGTCCGTTAAGAGAGCTTTGACTGTTAACGTCCGTGGGGTGGGGCATGTGCCGTTTAAAGGATGGTTTTCAGAGTCTTGAATTTATCAGGTGCACGGTTTATTTTGTTATTTCATTTTTCGAAAGTCGTGTCAATAATTAGAGTTAAGATTTTCTGA